GTGTTTTACAAGGGTTTCTAGCGGAATGGGAAGCCAGATAGCTGTTAATATACACAGGGTGATGACATCAGGAGCCATGGGGCATAGCACTGCACATGGACTTGCAAGTTCTCTTTCACACATTTAATCATGTTTCAGCTTCTGAGTTGCTGCACTATGTTGTTAAATAACGATCGTAAAAAGCACAGTTTAACACACAAACACGCTTTAGGACTAATCAAAAATACTTTGACAAGAGAAATTATTAATATACTTGCCTGGGGGGAAAAAGAAAGCACAAATTCTGTGATTCTGTGATTTTGTGAGAACAAATGTTCTCTTGTGACATTGCCCAGGACATCAAACACAAGATGACATTGACTATCAGTCATTCTTTAACAATTGCAATTATGCAAATCTATTTTACAAATTCCAAGTATAAAACACTCAAAATATCTTCAAGCAGAAAAGTGCTAGAGGATTTCCCTGAAGAAAAATGTACAGTTTCAGATGGTGAATTAAAAAAATACATTTCATTTGCATCTGGAAAGTACCTACTTACAGGTAAGAAGTTGCTTATTCCATGCAGATACAAGATCAGCTTCTTTAAAATGCTATTTCTGTGAGAGGATGGGATACATCTGAATGAAGTAATTTCACATTACGCACAGAGCACCTGTCCCAAGCTGCCCAAGGCATTCCGCTGATTTGCTTTCCAGACAGCCTCTCTGCCCAGGAGAGAGGCTTCAAATCTCGCTAAAGGACTATCACCTGAAAGACAGCAATAATGCTGTCAGTTTGGAATAACTGCAACTTGTCCTCATCCTCATAAATGGCGAGTTTATCTACACAGCATCCCACAGATGATTACAAACCAGGGGGGAATAGTTATTAGAGCTTTTCATTGACTCAAATGGCATGGAAACAGAATCCTTACTCCAATACCTCGTACAGTGTGGGGAGTCAACAATGGCCCCTTACAATCCTGATACCACCAAAATATTCTTGCAGTCAGTAGGCAATCCGTATCATAGCAAGACTTTTCCAAAGAATCCAGTAAGGAAATCTACAAACGGAAATCTACAAACGTGCCAAAGGCTTCAGTTCTAAATAAGAGCCCTGCAAAGTGTATCTATCTTGGTTTTCTGGAATCCAGGATGACACAGACCTTTCTGGCTTCTCTCTTTTTTGCTGTCTTGTAAGATAAAGATAAAAAAGGAAGCAGTTAATTTTTAAAAGATTAGAGTTCTAGGAGATGCAGTGGGCCACAGAAGTTGGGTATACATCAAATAAGTCAAAACAAGGATATTCAAATTATTCTTTGAAAACTGAAAACATCCAGTGGGCACCCTTCAGTGCTTGAGAGAAGAAGCTTGCTTATTCAGTCCATCTGTGAATACATTCCATTTTAATGTGAAATGGGTAATATTTGAGCAGCTATATTTCACCACTCAGAACAACAGGATGGGACAACAGGTCCCCAAAAGCAGTGAATAGTCTGGATAAGCATTATGTAGATGAGTGTCGTGCAATAGAATGTTTTGCCCTTCCTGAATCCAGACCTTCTCAAAAACATGTCTATAGAACTCTATTCTTTCCTGTGCACAAATTTCCATATTCTCTATTACAGAGCAGAAAGATTTTCATCTATATTAAATCAAATTTGGATTTACTCATAAAACTTTACAAATTATCCACATTTCCTTCCTTCTTGACTTTGATTTAAAGATGCACGAACTGAGAAAGCATCCCAATAAAACCCCATGAGTTAGGAAAGTTGATGCACATACGCATTTCTGTGAAAAGCATCTGCTAAACCAAGCTACTCAACCCCAAGAAGTGCAAAGAGTGCAAGATCAATGTCATGTTATAGTAGAGATGGGCAAACAACATGGGCTGAAGGGAAGCTAAGGAAAAGCTATGTAATAATGTATTTGTAAAAAATGGATCTTCCCTAATCAATCTTAAGAAAAACTGCTTCTACAGTTTTAAAAGATGAAAAAATTAAGAACTTTAAGGTCATCAAAAGATTCTTGATAACTAAGCCTACAGCAGTGGTCTTTAGCTGACTGGCTTGTTTGAAAGCTCTTCATTCTCTTTTTTCCTGTTTGAATATGCATATTAAAGCTTGGAATGGAAATAATATTGTACTCACAAGCCAAATTCTTTTTTTCATAGGGAGAAGGACCAAAAGCAAGCAGCCTTTTAGCTGAAAGTTTACCTCTAAAAGCAGGATTTTAACCAAAGTGCTGTCCAATTGTCAGCTGATGGCAGGGTGATAAGATGCCACAGGAAATATCCTGTAAACATGCATGTTATGATAGACTCCTTCAGAAGGATATCCGCTCTGGGCAGCCCAGCTGGAAGATGAAAAAGATTTCCAGCATGGTACAGGCAAGATAACAATGTTGGTGAAACCATGAAAAATGAGGAAAGACCTTATCACCCCAAATAAAACAGTAAAATAAGATTTTACTTATCAGCATAATTACATAAACCAGATGCTTTTAAGTCCCTGATCTCCTTTGGATAATCACGGAGTAGCTTTAGCTAGACATTGTGGCTCATTATAAAAGCTTATTGCACTAATTACCTGTACAATTTAGCTGAGAACTCAAGATTTTAGTTTTAAATTTTGAAACACAAGGCAAACTAGGATCAGGTTACATACAAGAAACTATTCCTCTATTATGCCCTATCACAGGCAGTGACCTGTTCAAACCATATTCTCCTGATGAAAAAGGTGATATGCTCAAATTGGAAGGGTCCAGCACTCTAAGATTTACTTCTAATGTATGTTTATTAATATCCAGAGTCTTTTTCTCTTAGATGCACTGCAAAGTTCATTGATGTTGGAAACCTATGGTACCCATATGTACACAGTTATACACAGCTTTTACCACAGAAGAAACTGGGTCCTGAAACAAAGCTCAAATCCTTTCCTTTGGATTCTGGTGATGAGCAAACAGAACAGAAATCTCGACATTTCAGATGATTATGCCACAAGGTGAGCACATTATTAGCAAATGAGGAAACCTTCAGAAGACTAGGAAAGCCCTTGTGCAACAAACTTTATGCCTCTTCTATAATAGGCTTGTTGCCTGTACTAGAAATGGATTTTTAGAAAGGTCATGTATCTTGGTTTATCACTGTTTATAATTAAAAAGAGTTTCAGGAAGGAAAAAGTCTAACCATTCACTAGCGCTCAATTTCTATGTTTTTAAATGTAATGAAAAGGATGAAAGGTCAGTCTCGAAATAAAGCACTCCATGGCCAAATTATGCTGACAGTTACAATCAAGAAGCCATATGGAATTCAGTGAAATTACAGAGATGTACTCAAAGCAAAATTTGGCCTTGTAAAGAGAAACAGAGTCACTTGCAAAGATATTCTGGCCAAAACTATGAAACTGAAGCTTAATGAAACAAAAATCACAATGGCTTCGCATATACACTGTGGAGTGCACCAAGCAGCACTAGTACTAGAAAGGAAACCAAATAGAAAGTTTAGGTCTTAAGAAGAGAAAAAAAGCACCACAATTTGCTGCCACGTTCACTTTGAATCATATTCAAGTAATTATCGGAAATGTAATTTTTCTTATTCAAATAAATTATAGTTCATTTGCCAAAATACCCTGGGATTCATAAAAGAAATCACTGCAATACGTACTTAGTAGGCAAAACACAATATATTAAGTAACTAGGATGTGAGATGAAAGTCAGATTTCAGAGTCCTACTGTAAATGTATTAAGAATGAGCTATAGAAAGAGCTCTAAAAGCAACATCATAGCAATGGTGAGAGTTATTTCAAGTTTAAAGAGCTTTGCAGTACAAGCATACCTTATGCTACCAAAGTGAAAAAATAATCTTTAGAAAACATTTACAGTTACTATCAGAATTATAATCATGCTAAAATAAGAGAATATTAACATGACAAAATAAACAAAACTAAAAACAAAACTAAAAAACTAACAAAGCTAAAAGTATTTTTAATATTACAATAGCAAAGAGAGAGAATCCTTATTCTAATATTAACAAATAAGCCATAACATTAAAATAATATTTCTAATATTATAATAGCATGGAAAGAGGATCCTTATTCTAATGCCTTGTATAGTCTAGGGAGGCAAAAATGGCAGCAAATTCTTTAATGTCATGATGGTCAACATCTTTAGCAGCAGGAAAAGCAAAGTACATTCACAGTTGCTCTCATCCTGTAACAAGAAAGCAGCTTGTTAAGAAACAGAGCAGTTTAGACACCAGTACCCCAAAGAAATGCCAGGAGGTGCCCCTATCAGGATTTAAGGGATTCCAGCCAAAAATAAAGAAATTTACGTTCTGCCACAATGCAGACATAACTGTTTGATGACAAGTGATGAAGCTGATGAAACAAGGTGCTTTCTGTGCTTAAATTACTAAAACAACAGGGGTTACAGTAACTGAAGGAATTTTTGACCCTTCATTAAATGCAGCAGACTATGAATTGCAGATCTGCGGTCTGGTTCCACTCCTCCCCACCTGCTGTCTCAGCAATCTCAGAGAACAAACTCAGTTAAAAATGTTAAATACTTAAGAATTAACACACCTTTATGCCCACTTACACCATTCTTGGAGACCTGTGATGTAAAAAAATAAAACTGAGAAGCAAAAAAAAAAAATTAACTTCACAACTGGTATGGAAACCAGATAACCCTTAAAAAAAAAAAAAAAAAAAAAAAAAAAAAGAGAGAGAGAGTCTGGTTTCTCTGCCAAGTAAAGAACAGGCAAGCCATCACACTAGCTTTCAAGTCATCCAATTTCAGCCAACACCTTTGATCTCATACAGACTTCTGTTACTAATCTCCCGCTGACGAGGAATCACGCAAAGTGACGGAGCGACAACGAACAAGGACACTTTGTGCTACCTGGGCAGATCCATTACGGAGCAGTACAGATCACAAAACTAGTCACTCCATTCTCAGTCTCTCCATCCACAACATTATGAGCATCAAGAGCTAAAGCAGCTGCTGCTTTCTGCTTACCTGATAGGGCACAACACTCCCATGAGCTGTACCCCAGCGCTTTCCTTCAATTCTGCAGTTAAGATAGTTAGCTGCTACATGAGTAAGACACGCAACCTGAAAAGAGAGAAAGACAAGTGCTCAGGGAAGTTCAACCTTCATCAACAACTTATTTCACGTTTCTGTATATTTAAACGCGCTTTTATATACGAAAGTTAAAAATATTTGTTTTCACAAAACTAATATGGCATTAAATATATAGAGAAGTATGCAACACGTAAGTTGCCTTGGTCAAAGTCCAAAAGGATGTCAGATGAATTTGTGGGCAAAGTCACCTTTCCTGAATTTCAACCCCATGCTTAAAACTTAAATCTTTCTCTTTTTCCCTAACATTCTCACTACACATATAAACTCTGGAAAATATTTCAGAATACTTTAGTTCCTCACATTATCTGTGATATTAATTAAATGGTAGCCCTCAACAAATCATTTGTCATTGAAATATATAGACAGATATATCAAGTTATTATCACAGAGACAAAATCAGAAAAAAGATTAATTTTATGAAAAATATGGCATGTTAAATCCAGCAATCATAACCTGAAGGGGGGTAAATATGAAAGCAATCTATACTTTCTAACAGCAAGAATATGTCTTAGGAAAAAAAGAAGTTAATATTTATGATACAATTAGACATGAAAAAAATCAGAGGTTCTGTTATAAAACATGGCAGATCATTTTCATGTCTTTGGGAGACTACAGTTTGCAACTGGACTTTGAGTAATCCATTCAAGCACAGCATTCTCCACAGCAAGTTTTCACCATTTGTCAGAGACAGCGTTTGTTGTATGCTAGCTTTAAACTATAACAGCATGCACAACTATGTAAGTTTGCTTAAACAAGATGTCATGACTGTTTTCCATCCCAGAAAATCTGTTTTTCTCCTCCTTCCTATTTTTTTTTCCTCTTCCTTTTTTAAAGATTTCTCTCCTAGAAAGACAAAATTCAGTACACTAATCAAGGTGCTGGTGCTCTTCTTTCTTTGTATGCCATCATGGTCATGCCTCCTCAAGCATCTAGACACAGCACATTTGTCAGATGTAAAGAAGGTGAGTAGACAGCTACAAGTGGATGAGTCTAATCTGCATTGAAACATATAATAACTAATTCAGATGCTACTAGCAATAAATGACATATATATCATATATGTCAACAATTCTAGAAAAAAGGATGCCATTTCTTTTTCTTTTCCTTTTTCCATATATCCTGAAAAGGCAGCATGAACATATCACTTAGGCAAATATTTGTTTTAGAACGTGCAAGTCACAGATATGTTGATTTAGCCCACCAGAAAAAAAAAATACAGAACAAATGAGAATATGACCTCTGACAAAGAGAGCTTGCCTATCAATATATACCCACAGCAATACGTAACACCACATTCATGCACACAGTTGAAACACTTCATATTTTGATTTCAGCTGCAGCTTATTGCATTTCAGCATCATCCCATGTGGCTAAAATATTAAAACACACTACATCGATATCTCAGTATGAGATCCCCAGGAAAATCTCATAATTAGGGAAACTGATTTGGGCAATATATAGATGGGACTTCTTCCTTTTGCTTCACAACTGCCTCAGCAGCAGACAATGAAACACACCATGATTTCAGATGGAACTTATTGAGTTCTAAAAGTATGTTCCATATGATTTACAAATAACAGTCCCAGTGTTCGTATAATTTTTCAGTTTGGGATCACATACCACACACTGATACAGCTTCTATCACAGCTAATGGCTATGAAATTACGATGGAGATTAATGGTTAGATACTGTTATATGTCACTTTTTTTTCTTTAGCATTAGATAGCTACTGCATTTCACACAAATTTTACTAACAGGTGAGATGCATCTACTACCATAGAGTTTTACACATAAAGACACAAGACACCCTCAGTGAAACATGTGCATTTAACTTCTCAGTTGTGCAAGGAAATGTTACAGCAATCTTTATTTTAAGGACATGCTGAATTAAACCCTAATGAAACAGAAATCTTAAAAAGTTGTTACTGAGATAAAATAAAAAATATATAAAGTATATAAAATATATATATATATAGATAGATCTTGCTTGAGTTAGATTATTGGAATCCCACCAGTAAAGTTTCTCTTCAAAGACTTGTCTCAGTGGCAATAGAGAGCCAATGGCTGGGAAGTCAGCGGCTTCGCAATGGGCGAGTGTGCCTGAAAGTAGAAGTTGCCTGGACAACATCAAGGCCTCAGTTCAATATGATATTTTATCTGCAGCACAACTCCATTTCATCCACTGTGCTGTTTACCTAAAAAGCCTAGACTTAGGTAAACTGTTGAAACTCCTTTACATTGGCTTTTTGATAAAGCAAAAAAAAAAAAAAAAAACACTTTCAGTTCCCTTTGACATTCTTCTCCAAGTTGAGCATCTTATTTATAAAGTCAAATTATCCAGCTAAAAATTAGCTAGCCAGCTATTATATATATAATATATTATAGCCAACTATAAAGTCAAATTAGCCATTATTTTTATTACTATTATGCAAATCAACTTTTATTGCCCACATTTAAGAAAGTATTCCTGTCTTGTATGTTATATACCAAATCATTTGGTTGAATGAAGTCTTTGGCAATTTACCCCCCCTCCAACAAATTCTGACTTCAAGACTTTATTCGAGTTCCACTGTACTATGAACCTGTTGCGCTCAGTCCCAGGACTATCTTGCGCTTTCTTCCTCTCCCTTCCCCAGTCTGTTCATTCGCTTTGCTCCCACACCAAAGATACCATCTACACACCATATTCCAGAAGGTCAAAGATATTGCATAACTTGATTACAGATAGTGTTAAGTATTTTTTTTAATCCATATTTAAAACTGCATTCCTGAAACCCTACCAACCCTTTATTTTCCATTTAATTAAGACACAAATCATAAAAGTAACCTTTGCACTTGTAACATTAAAGCAAATGTAATACAATGACACAGACATCTCCATATACAGTTGCTTGTAGAGACAGATCTATCTACTGTAAAGGTGTGCTATCGAGTGTCTGCAGATAAACAATTCTTTATTTCACATCAACAAAGTGAACACACACCTTAACATTCCTTTGCAGTATTACAGTTGATGGCCAAACCAAGTATTTGCTTTACATACCTACCTAAACCAGAACAAAGCGAGTGCTGCATTAAGATCTGAAAAACTATGCTCAACTTATGACAGAATCAGACAGATGGGGAAACACGATATTAAATGCCAGGAGGTGAGCAGACAAAGAAAAGAGGCTGAATTTCAAAAGATTTTTATCAAGATAGTACATCAAACATAATTGATTACAATGAATTCACTGACTCGATCAATCATTTATGTGCAAGCTCAACAAATGCATATGAAAAACAAAATGAGACAAGGACATGGAAAGGGGAGAAAATAACATCCCCTCCAATTTTGTGTCCATTTCATGGTCATGTCTCCTTACTAGGCTTCAACTCTTATCCATATTATTTTATACTTCTAACTCATTCTCTGCTTACTTTTTCTTAAAGCAGTCACATATTCTCTCTTAAGACCTTTGAGACACAAGCACATTACTGCAGCACAGGTAACACTTCACAGCATACAATTGGACTAGAAACCTAAATATTAATTTGTAAGTTAGTAGAAAAAACATCCTGAATAACTTCAGTGGCTTCTATTGTGCAAATGCCATCAACCTTTCAATTATATCCTTTCTGTACTTACAGTGCTCTATGAAAAATAAATCTAAAGAGATCGTTATAAACAAAAGCTTTGAACATAAAACCACAATCTGATTTTACATGTCTTCTTTTCATGTTGCAGTAAATACATTTTAATGTATTCTCACTCAAGTTTGACATGAGTTTTGCTTTGGGAGCCAGTAAGCAATAAGGCCCTCCCTCCCTTCTTTTTCCATACTTCTATTGAATCTGCTTCTGTATGCAGGTGCATAGGGTGACCCTTGGCTGTTTTGAAGAAGGGAAGAGTGGTCTCTCAACAAATAAAAACAGATAAAAACCGATTATTTGTAAATATCCTCTTCCAGCTGAATCCGCACCAAATACAACTTTTAGCATTAAAGTGAACAGGAAATGGTGACATTCCAGCGACAAATACAATCTTCAAGATAAGAACAGTCCTTAATAACAAATAACTACAAGTGGAGAATAGTCTTGAATTAGGTCCTGTTTTAGGGCTATAAAAACACCAGACACTTAAGCAAGGATCCAGCTCTGTACCAGTAATGACGTGCAGCCCACAGGACTGACTGACTTGATCTAGATATTTGGCTAAGTTTTGCCTTATGCAGGTAACAGAGCGCAACAAATCACACATGCATAGAAATGATGCATGAGAAGGTGCTGAATAAAATCACAAAAGAAGAAATACGTGCCCTGACAAAATCAAAGGTATCTGAGAACTGTGTCTTAAACATGAACTCTCAGGGAGGAAGAAAACTAGAACAAAAACACTTCAGAGTCCCACTGTGTAGTAATATGGATTTTCATTTTAAAGTGTGGAAGTGATGGCCAAAAACAACTTCTGCTTAAAAAACAGATTTAGACTATATTTAGATATAGTGAACCATCTTCAAATAGACATGAGGCACCTGCAAAACAGAACTACTAATGACTAAGGGGGAGTTCAGTGGAAAACAGCTACCAAAAAAATAAAAGGCAGCTAATCCATGAATGATATTCATTTACCTGAGCTATTTAGGGCTTACAAAAGACAAACACTTCCATTCTGTCGCAACTTTAACATCAAGGAGGGAGATCGCCTCTTAAGTAAGATTCAAGTATGATTAATAATAGCAAGACTTGATTCAACTGGCAAATATAGGACAAGAAAATTCCTGAATATCTGTTTTATTCAGAATACAGTTACATGAGAAAGTGACTGGCAAGTGGACTCCTGCATCTTTAGTGTGGAGGAGTGTCCACTTAAAAACAAAGGAAAAAGTGGAATTAACAGCTACCTCATTAAAAAAAAAAAAAACAAAAAACAAAAACCACTAAATGCCTCATCTATTAGACAGCACTGTGATGAAACAGTAATGATCTCT